CCCCCCCCCCCCCCCCCTTTCCCCGTATCCCGTCCGCCCCCCTCCCCAGGTGCTCGTGGATGTCCCTATACAGCGTGAACTTCGTGAAGCACAAGACGTATTATTGGGCGATAGAGACAGACAACGGCATGGACGAGTTCATAGCAGACGCGGATCCTAATGCCTTCCAGGAGTGGCTTTCCGAGGTGGGCATGGGCGCATCGTTGGTATCTTTTTGTCGATCGCCGGTATTTCAGTAGATCTTTGCGACCTCTTGGAATGGTGTCGCCAAGCTTGTTGGACAGAGAGAGAGAGATTTTTTTGTTGGGGAAAGTACATTAGAGCTGAGTACCTACAACACCGCACGCTTTTCGATGATTCCGTTCATTTTCATGCTCTCCTCGCATGTACCGCTGTTTCCGAAACATGCCCAGCCCCAACACACGCACTCCCCACTCTTCCAGTACCCGCCGGATACGCAACAAGCACCGCCCCCACCCCTACCCCCGTCCAATGGTCTACAACTAAGCCGTGCAAAACATGAGTTGAGACGCCCTCCCGTACCATGCTGCTGTTGCGACTGTCTTCGTGGCGCCAAGACACGCCAAGACACGACGTTGAGTGATGGTAAGAATTAGGGTACCCACTCGAAGGAAAGCATTGTCTATCCTCACAGGGGTTTCTGATGTTGCGGCGCGCGCACAAAATAGCGGGATGGTGCCGACGAAACCGACCTGTGCTTGTCGCCCCCCCATGTTATCGTGTGCTTGATTTTTGCTTCTCCGTCGCCCCCCGCCCCACCCACCCCACCCTTCGCCCGCGATTCGATGCAACCACATCGTGCGTCTGTTTTGGTTCAATCTTGACGGACGGATGGATGGATCGATGGCGCTCGTGGTCCTGCTTGGCTGGGCTGGGCTGCACTTGGCTCTCCGTTACCGCGATCGCCTGGGCTTGACTGGTCTCGGTTCGGCGGGCATCCGTCCCGTTTTCCTTTCTCTTCCCGCTTTTGTTTTCGTCCCATTTTCATTTTCCGTCTCTTTTTCCTTTGCCCGTCCCGTTTTTTTTTCGCGCTCCTTTTTTTATTTTCCGCTGTTGGCGAATGGATCGCTCGAGCTCAGTTCCGCGTTGTTTTCGTTTCCAAACTGTACACGCAGTTCGAGTTGGCGTGGTACTACAGCTGGGCGTTCGTGACCCTGCTGGTCATGGTGAGTCTTGAAACGGTCGGTCTGCAGACCGTGTGTCCCTTGTGCGAGCGGATACTGCTGCTGTTGTCATCTACAGAAAAACACAAAAAGGACAGGTTGTAGGGGAAGTAGTCCTCTCCGAGATGATAAGGGTATGGGCGCCATTTTTCTCCGCGCATCAGAGTTTTTTTTGTTTGTGTGTTTTTTTGGAGCGGTCAAGTCTGTCTGCCTGTGTTGTTGGCGGTTCTCCACTTGCCCCACGAACATCAATTCAAGGCGGTTTTTCGTGGTGTACAGGTATCCTTATGGAGCAAATTACGCCTTAATGATTGACGTGGTGCGTCACGCGTGCGTTGTGGCTTTGGCTGAGCACGAGCTCTCACTGGTGGAGTGAGCTGTGATCCTATCGCCCCTTCTCCTGTTTTCTCTTCTCTCCCTCCACCAGACCTGTAACTGATCACCAATGTTTACAATACGTCGAAAACTTCGAGCAACATCTCTGTCGTCTCCATAACAAATATCCCTACAGGTTCGGCTCCCCGAGGTGCACCTGATTTGATTTGACACCACCACCTTGTTCCTGTGCCATGGTCGGTAGCAGTAGCAGTGGGGATCCGACTCCCGTTATTGTTGGCTGGCTTGTCTCCTAACCCCTTCTTGACGAAGCTCGCTTCGGACACGCTCTCTCAAAACAACGTGGCATGATTTTTCTCTGCCTGTGCGTGCGCGTCCCAGTCATCAGCACCGACTGCGCTTGCCGGCTGTTCGATTTCTTATTCGTTTTTGCAGTTCTTACCGCCCCGTGGGTTCTTCACGGTGGCCGTGAGGGATGGCGTTCGATGGGTGAGACAATGGCAGACTTGTCGTGTGTTTATTCACGCCTTGGNGGGGGGGGGGGGGGGGGGGGGGGGTGTACTCATAGCCGTGCATGCCGTAGTCGTTAGAAGAATGACTTCGCGTCCCTACAGTAACCGGGACGGGCGTATTTTTTGGGGGCGTATTTTTTGGGGGCCCATTTCTTGCGTATGCTCGAGCCCTTTGAACACCTCCCTTGCTACGGTTCACCTGTCCAGAAGGGACACCGCAGCTTCAACTCTCTCGAAGGTTGGGGTCGTTACCCTAAACACCACGGCTTGCTTACCTGATCTCTTCTTCTTGTTCGTCTATTTTTCTTCCTCTGCTGCCCCTTCTGGCGCTGTTGCTGGGCCTCGCGGTGTGGTGCACAGAGCAAGTGGACGAGACTGCAGAAGTGGGCTACGGTGCTCCTGGTCGGGCTCTTCTTCTTCAACAACCCCTTTCTCGCCGCACAGGTGTTGATCGCATCGCTTGTTTGTCGTGTTGAGGTTGTTGTTGTTATCACATCGCTCGTTTCTCAGGATTAGTTGTTGTTGTTGTTGTTGTTGTTGTTGTTGTTGTTGTTGTTGATGCTCTCGGTGCCGTCTTGCAAGAACGCTTCCACCTCTGGCACATGCGTGCCTCCTTCGCGTCGTGATCCTGACGGATGCGGTGCATGTTCCTGGTGTCGTGACGGAGTGTCGTAACGCTAACTTGACACGAGCGATACTGACAAGGCCACAGGAAGTTGTTCCACATTCGACTCGTACAAATAAGAAACCTAAACCAGACTGTTGCTGAAATGTAGCTTGTTGCGGCGCCACAGCACTTCAACGTGGCCTTCACGACGGATGGATTGCTTCCTCCGGTGGGAAACCAACAGCGATATACTTCCAACAACGAAAAATAACTGGCATCCCCCGGATTGCGTGTTGCTTGTTTCTTGCGCCAGCCTGGCATAGTATTACTGGTGCAGCCGAGATGTTGTGATGACGGTCTCAGCAGAGGCCGTCTGAAGATTCCGCCAACCTCGTTTCTGCGTCTGCTACGCTACCAATGGCTCGAGAAATACGGCGGAGGCGGAGTCGGCGGTGGTCGCTCCAGCACCATCGCTGCAGCATTAATGAAGTGCACTCAGTTCGTGTAGGAACACATTCTCCCTGACGAAAGGAAAACGTCCTCCCGTCTCGGCTCGGTTGTTGGGCATGCTGGCGGTGTGCGCCCCGGCTAACAACACGTCTTCGTCTTTTTTATTTGTGCGTCTTTCATTGTTTTTTGTTCCCACCGAGCCAGATTTACGGGGCTTCCCCCAAGTCGACGTTCATCTGTTACGCCGTCGCAGAGGGCGTTTTCGTGTCCCTGCTGCTCCTTTTCCTGCTGGACAGACTGTTCGAGGCGGGCAACGCGGACAACGAGTGAGAGGGGTGGCCGTGGATGGGTTCCCGGGGGGGGGG